CCGTTGTCGTCGTGGTCGTCGTCGTCGTCGTCGCCGTCGTCGTGGTCGTCGTCGTCGTCGTCGTCGTCGTCGAGAGTCGCCGTTGTCGTCGTCGTCGTCGTCGTTGTCGTGGCCCGCTTTCCTGGCAATGGCGGCTGCGTTCTGGGCTTGGGGGCCTGGGCCCGCCCGTCGGTGTCGGACGCAGCTCCTTGGGCGGGGGCGGGCTCGCTGCGTGGATCCATTCGTGGCGGCGGATTTTCAATGCCTGGCGAAACTATTCAACGATTGGGCGCGGGCGGGCTCGCGTGGTGAATTCATATGCGGGGCGCGCTTCCCGTTGCCCAGGGGCCCCAGTCAACGATCGGGCGGTGGCAGGTTTAGCGCGTGAAATCACGCGCGCGACGCAGCGCGCGTAAAGTGGCGCGCCCCGCCGCACCCACTTTGCGAATGTTTTTTTTATGTCCCCCCCCCGCGTTTCGTGAGTTCAAGAAAAGGGACATATTTTTAAACTTTAAGTAGTAAGCATTCTCTACATTGCGACCGGCGCTTCCCGCCTTGTTTTCTCGCGCGCCAAACGCAGAAACAACGCAAATCGTAAGGTGGGCGCGCCGGGGCCCGCTGCTTTGCGCGAAGTGCGTTATGTGTATGAATAGACGCGCTAAGCCCGCGCCCGCCTGATCGTCGAGTGGGATTGCCAGGCGACCTGAGCTGCGTCCCGCATGTGAATTTACATCGTGGAACCCGCCCCCCGTCGGGCCGTCTACGCGGTTCGTTGAACAACGCCCCGCAGGCCCCGTTGGTCTCGTCAGGCCCACAGGTCCCCCAGGCCTTGCAAGTCGCACAAGTCTCACGGGCCCCGCGGGTCTCGCAGGTCCCGCAGGTCTCGCAGGCCCCGCGAGTCCCGCAGGTCCCACGGACCCGCGGGTCTGTCTCGCAGGCCCTGCAAAAGCTGACGTTGCGCACGGGCCCCGCAGGTCTCGCGGGCCCCGCGCCCCCCCCGCAGGTCGCGCAGGTCGCGCAGGTCCCGCAGGTCCCGCGAGACCCGCCGATCCCGCAAGTCGCCCAGGTCCCGCGTGTCTCGCAGGTCCCACAAATCGCACATGTCCCGCAGGGGCGCAAGTCTCGCGCGCCCCGCGGGGCCCGCGGTGCGGTGCGCTAAAAGACGAGAGGGGATCGTTGGGAAACCCAATGCTTAGGCAGAATTGCCCATCCCCGTGAACAGATTTGTTTTAACAAAAGCGGCACAAGGATGGAAGCCGAAACGGTGTTGAATCTGACCAGGCGGGGCCCGTCGCATCAATTGACATCCGCCTGTCAATTTTGCGGAGGAACGTCTCGTCTGCATTGCGCGGTGCACGTTGGCCATCCGACTGCGGGTATGAAGCCGGGAGGCAGAGCGTGGAACCGCCCGCGCCGCCGGCCTTGCGGGGGATGAACTTGGTAGAGCACCCGGGCATTAAGTGGCATCCGCCTCCCAGCCTTGCCGCCGGGCGCGCAAGCCAACGCGCGGCATGTCAATGGCCTGGCCCGCGGTGGGCGCCCGCGCGCGCTGCCGACGTTGAAAGGCGAATTTCACTTCATGATCCTCTTTGGGCGTTGCCTTCTGCAGATCATGTGGTTGTATTGTAGATTTTGTTCTAACTTTTTTCCCGGCTGTGTGGGTGTCGAGCCTGTTTGCGCGTGCTCCAATCGTTCTCGCGGCAATTGCCCTACGGCGTCGGCAACCTCTGCCACTCGGGCAGATGGAATGGGAAGCGCGCGATCCTTGGCAAATAAAAGAATTATGCCCTGACGGTTGCCGTGGTCAGTCGCGGCTTCCCTGGGAGGGTAGGGGGGGGCGCGAGGGAAATGGCGGTGAAGATGCGAAGAAGGAGGGGGGCGAGGGTGGGGGGGGCAGGAGGATTAGAGGGGGGGGGCGAGCGAGGATGCTGATGGCGTCTCGGCGGAGGAGCGTGAGCTAAGCAGTGGCCGGCGATGTTGCGAGAACGCATGTCCTCTTCGTCGTGGTCGCCGCGGTCGCCGTTGTCGTCGTCGTCGTCGTTGGCGTCGTCGTCGTCGTCGCCGTCGTCGTCGTCGTCGTCGTCGTCGTCGTCGTCGTCGCCGTCGCCGTGGTCGTCGTCGTCGTCGTCGTCGTCGTCGTCGTCGACGTCGCCGTGGTCGTCGCAATTGTCGTCGCCCGCCGTTTCTGGCAATGACGGCTGCGTTCTGGGCCTGCGGCCCAGGGCCCGCCCGCCGTTGTCGGACGCAACTCCCTATTGGGCGGGGGCGGGCTCACTGTGCAAATTCGTTCATGGCGGCAGATTTTCGATGTCTGGCGACGCTATTCAACGTTTGAACGCGGGCGGGTTCACCGTGTAAATTCATATGCGGGGCGCGCTTCCCGTTGTCCAGGGGCCCCGCTTAACGATCGTGCGGTGGCGGGTTTGCTGTGGGAGATAACGCGCGCGACGCAGTTCGCGTAAAGTGGCGCGCCCCGACGTGCCCATACGTATATATATATATATATATATGTATACACACATATATATGTATGTATATACACATATGTATGTATATATATACATGATTTTCGCGCACGAGCAAGTGGGGCGAGGAACGTCAATCGTAAAGTGGAACTGCTGGAATCTAAACAACTCTTTTTGTTTTTTAGTTAAAACAATTCCCACGTTGCGATGGGTGCTTCTCGCCTTGTTTCCTCGCGCGCCGAGCGCGGGGGGGGGGGAAGCAAATCGTAAAGTGGGCGCGCCAGGGCGCGCCACTTTGCGCGAAGTGCGTTATCTGTATGAGTTTACACATGAAGCCCGCGCCCGCCCGATCGTTCAGTGAGATTGCCGGGCGACCTGAGCTGCGTCCCGTCCGTGAATTTACATAGTCTCCCCCCACATGTCTCGCAGGTCGCGCGTGTCGCGCAGGTCCCGCAAGTCCCGCCAGACCCGCCGATCCCGCAAGTCGCCCAGGTCCCGCATGTCTCGCAGGTCCCACAAGTCGCACATGTCCCACGTGGGCACAAGTTTCACACGCCCCGCAGGACCCACGGGGCGGCACGCTAAACGACGAGAGGGAATTGCTCGGAAACCCAACGCTTAGGCAGAAGATCCGATCCCCGTGAAAAATGTGTTAAACAGAAGTGGCACAGGGATTCAGGCCGAAACGCTGTTGAATCTGACCAGGCGGGGCCCGTCGCATCAAGTGACATCCGCCTGTCAATGTTGCGGAAGAGCGTCTCGTCTGCATTGCGCGGTGCACGTTGGTCATCCGACTGTGGGTATGAAGCCGGAAGGCAGAACGTGAAACCACCCGCGCCACCGCCCCTGTGAAGGATTAGTTTGGAAAAACACCCACCCTGGCATTCCGTGGCATCCGCCTCCCACTGTTGCCACTGGGCGCGCAAGCCAACGCGCGGCATACCAATGGCCTGGCCCGTGGTGGGCGTCCGCGCGCGCTGCCGACGTTGAAACGCGAACTTCACTTTATGATCCTCTTTGGGCGTTGCCACCTACAGATCATTCAACATGATCGTTTTGTCAATTTCGTTATAACTTTTCCTGGCAGTGTAATTGTCTCCGCGTTCCGAACAGAGTTTCGTGAACTCGCTTTCCGGGCCCCCAAACGCGCGTTCGGTTCGTTCCAAGAGGCCCACAGGATCGCCCCAAGACGGCTTCAAAGACACCCGAAAGGCCCGCAGAAGACCCCACAGCGTCCCTGGGCGGCCCGAGTCCCCTTGGAACGGTCCCGCAAACTGCCGGCATGGCCGTGGGACGGCCTGGGGCGACCCAGGATCGCCCCAGGATGGCCGAGGCTCCCCGCCCGACCGCCCCCGGCCCCCTCCACCAGCACCCTTTGGCCCCGCGGGCGGGGCGCCCCGATGGCCCCATGACGCCCGGGGGGCCAAAATGATGCCCCCAAAGGGCCCCGAACATGTCCGAGGCTGGCCCCGAGATGGCTCCGATTTGGCCCCACGAGCGACACGGGGAGGAGGCCATGCCACAGTTGCGCCGCGGTCTATGGGCAGCTTCGTGTGATCGCCGTTTTTCAGCTTCCCTCCTCGCTGGTCGCCCCTTGCTCGATTCACGCTCCTCGCTCCTGGCTCATCTCGTATCATTCCTTCTCGCTCCTCTCTTCTGGCCGCTCGCCCTCCTATTGGCTTCTACGTGTTGTCTGCTATTTCAGCATCTCCCCTTCCATCCTCGCCTCTCCCTTCTTGCTCTAGGCTCCTGGCTCCTCGCCCACTGCTCTGCGCTCATTGTCCATCTCTTCTTGCTCTTAGCTGTTTTCTTTTTACTCCTCTTCTCTCTTCGCTCCCCCCTCTTGGCCCCTCGTTTCTCCCTCTTGGCTACTCGAGTCTCCCTCCCCCCTCCCCCCTCCCGCCTCCTCACTCTCTCCTCGTCTCTCCCACCTCCCTCGCGGTTCCTCGGCCGTCACTGCTCTCTTCTCACTTCTCGCTCTTCGCTGATCGCTCCTCGCTTCTCCCTCCTCCCCCGCCGATCTCATCGATCCTGACTCCTCTCTCTGCGCTCCCCGATCCTCTACCGAGCACGCTGCGTTTGTAATTTAGGTGGACCATGCAGCACCGAGCAGCAACAGCGAACATCAGCAGAACGCAGCACGAAGCGGACAGCACCAGAGCAGCGGGCAGCAGCACGCAGCGGCCATAATCTGCTGTCAGCAGCACCCTGCGTCCACAAGCAGCAACAATATGCTGCAACGGTAAGCATCACCAACAGTGGCAGCAAGACGCAGCACGCATTAGCAGGCGCGGGTTGCGCAGTTCGTATCGCTTCATCCGTTCGTCAGCATGGCCGCTCGTGCAGAGTTCGTGCAGGTTCGTGGTCACAATCCACGGGTCAGCCCTAGTCAGCTACAATGCGGGGATCAGCGCCTGCGAGAAAGGCGGGCAGTGGCAGCGGGCGGTGCTATTGCTGTTACTCAGTAGGTTGCGAGCGAAGTTGGAGCCAGATCAGATCAGCTACAGTGCTGGAATATCTGCTTGCGCGAAGGGCGAACAGTGGTAGCAGGTGCAGTGGCGTGCCTCTTGCCAACTTCGAAACCAGCAAACGCGAATTGTGCCAAACGAGAGCTGGACTTGGATTGCGCGAGCCAGTGGGCAGCGGAAACGTTATCGCTGATCTTCGAGTTGATGGAAGCTGGAGGGCGGAGTTGGTGCAGCACGCCTTCAGCCTCGGCGTCACGTGAGCGCGCGCTTGGATTGCTAGTCGGCGATGTGGTCTGCGCTGGGGAGTACGACGTGGTGCCAGGGGAGCCGCGTTGGCACGAGCGTGATTGGTAGTTGCGACTGTTCGGCCTCACTACATGGAGCAGCCAACACATGTCTTTCGGGTGCACGTGCTTCACTGACACTTCAGCCCACACTCGGGCGGCTCTGCCTATCCGCAGAGTTCTCGGCGCAGCGACGCTGCATCTGCCTCGGGGCCTGCCTCCTCACGGCCGGAACGCTGGACCCAGGACGACTCTGGGCTCGGACAGGGGCCGCGCGGGCTCCTCGGGCCGTTCCTCGGGCGCCTCCTCGGCCGCTCCCTCGTGGGCCTCTGTGTGTGCAGCTGGAGCCGACAAGGGGCTTCGCTCCCTGGTTCCGGGCTTCGAGGTGCACCAATCCTGAGCCCCAGAGCCCCAATCCTGAGCCCCGGAGATCTCTCGGAAGCCTCGGTCGGGGCTCGGTCGGGCCGCCGGTCTGGCCATGGGGGTTCGTAGGCCCACCAAGGTGAATGCACGCGATTGGCCCTAACAGGGCGAGATCTTGCAAGAACGAAGCAACGGCAAGCGAAGTCCCGTGGTTCAAGGCTCTGGGCTTCCCGAGGCCACCTTGTCCTCAGAGCAGGCCGGCTCACCGGGAGGCCTCCGCTCCGTGCGCGCCTGCGGCGGGGCTCGCGGCGCGCGAAGGCGGCTGCTGGGGAGGCCCGCGCCAGCTTGGGCGTTGGCCGAGGAGGAGGAGGAGGAGGAGGAGGAGGAGGAGGAGGCGCCCGCGCGCTGGCTGGTCGGCTGCGTCGGCAGGCGCGCGCGCTGCGCGGCCAGGGGCCGCGCGGCCGCGCCCGGCAGCTCGCGGAGAGGCCAAGCGGGCCCCGCCGCCACGGGGGCGGGGCTGCCGTGGCGGTGGCGCCTCCCGCGGCGGCCCGCCGAGCTGCTTCCGGAGGCAACTGGGCTCATCTCGCTTCCTCCGATGCTCGGGGGCGGCAAAGAAGGGGGGGGAATACCTAGGGGGGGAGGGGATATCATCCCGTGGGCCACGATATTCCCACAGATCTCATGGCGCCTCTTCTTATTTCATTGCGTCCCTGGCCACCCCCCCTCGGGCCGCGCACATGCCGCCGGCCATGGTTTGCACCCCCCCTCTTGGACGCCCCCCTTTTGGCCGCCCCCGAGATACGGTGCGATTGGTTCTCGGTGGCTCCAGATTCCGATTCGATTCGACTTCCCGGGCAAGCGAGCGCCGAGCCGCTCTGAGCCGAGCCCCTGGCGGGAGGTTGTCAGGAGGCGCTGGGCGTGCGGGCCAGCAGGCTCAACAGGCTCGTCCGCGAGGCGTGCGGGCTCGTGGGCGGCGTGGTCGCTCGGAGGAGCACGATGGTTGACCGACTCAGCAAGCTGCGCTACCGCGCCCGCATCCACGTTCTCTGCTTTTTTGGCTCGCTCGGGAACGGCAGCAACGGCCAGCGTGGCAATTCAGAAGCCATCGCCCCATGTACCGTCGTGCTGGCGGTCGGCATCATCCTGTCCGGCGGCGCAAGGAAGCGCGTCGATCAGATGCTGGGCGCAGGATCACTTTTCACGTCGGGCACTGGCGCGGTCTACGTCGAGACATGCCGCGTAGTTTCCCAGGCGCCGTTTCGATGGCGGTGCGTCACCCAAGGAGGGGGCCAGCCAGCCTTCGCCCGGCTGGTCCCCTCCTTGGATGACGCACCGCGCCGGCCGCGCCGGGCGACGCCAGGGTTGCCAGCGTGACGCCTCCTCCTCCTCCTCCTCCTCCCTCCTCCTCCTCCTCCTCCTCCTCCTCCTCCCTCCTCCTCCATCCTCCTCCCGCCCCGCATCTCTTCATCCCTCCTCCTCTTCCCCCTTTTCCTCCTCCTCCTCCTCCTCCTCCTCCTCTTTGTAAGATGAGGGGGGTGGGTTTCTCCTCGAAGGCGTTGATCAACGACGAGGAGGCACGCCGAAGCATCGCGAGATGGGTTGGCCATGAGATCGGGCGGGGCGTGGGAAGCACGTTAGCAGCACGAGCGTTCAGCTTCAGCGACGGCCTCGCACTGGCATCATTCTGCGCCAGCCAGCGCGCCAGTTTGCGTGTTGCCACCTGACCTGGCCTCGCGCAGGCAGCGTGGGCGTGGGCTTTGGTGCAGGATATCGTTTGTAGCGACTCTGGCCCGAAGAACGACGTCGCATCCAGGGCGAGACTGCTCGACGGTGGCAGCACGCAAGAGTGACATCACAACATTCATCCCCCGAGCGTCGTGAGCGCCGTCGACGCCAAGTCGCTCTTCGACAATTTCGTACAGGATACCATTGGACGCAATGACCGACGAGTTGCATTCGAGCTGTGTGTTGATAGGCGCTATGTGTGCGCCGCCGGTTGCATGGCCAGACGTGTTCAGCACCGCTGCATGCTGGCTGATGCCCTTCACCAAGCGAGCTCCTAACGCAGAGGTTTTTACCAAGCTGATAGGCTCAGGGCGCTATTGCATCCTTGCTTAACAGTGCGAGCTGAAGAAGCGAGTAGCGGGGAAGCCCCAGAAACGCTTTGTCAGCAGGCCTCACAAGGGGGAACAGCTTGATTTGCAATTAGTAATAGGTGCAGGCACCCCGTGACAGCAGACGTGGTCGGATTTCACTGTTGAAGTCTCGCATGTTGTCCGAGATTCGTACATGTGCGACGCTGGGATCGAATACTTTTTTGGGGGGCTGACTGCTTCCCAACCAGACTGTGTCTCCATGTGGCCACAACCCGGCCACAGTAACATGATTGGCATCGGTAGCCGCTTTGGGCCAAGTGCGCGCGCGATGTCAGACGTTCCCGTCGTGCAGTCATATAATCCTCGATCCTCCTCGGTCTCAAGATTCGCTGCCGACACCGGCTCTCCAGGAAGGCCTCTCGGCCGCTGGGCGTGTGCCCTCCCCCCCCCCGCGCGGGCGCGCGGGAGCGCGGGAGCGCGCCAGGTTTGTCCGGAGAAAGGGAGGCGAGGGGCACCGGAACCGCAGTGGTGGGGCTTCGGCGGCTGAGACAGGGGGCAGATGGTCTCGGGGAGAGCGCCGCGTGCATCTGGGGGCTGCGATCGCCAACGTCTTCGCCGTGGCTCACCGACGAATGCGTACGATGCCTGTCCACGGGCTGCCTGTTCCCTGGCCTCTGCTGCCGAGGAGCCCGAGCGGCTCGAGCCCCGCCAGGCGTGGCCGGAGGTGCCCCTGGCCCAAGGTGTCCCCAGGATCTGCGAGGCTGCCCCCGCTGCTTCCAGGGCGCCCCTCGCGAGGCCCGGGAGGCCCCGTGGGCGTCTCGAGATGAGGCGAGGAGCTGGGGACCCCGTCGGCCAGAGACACCTCCAGCAAGCCCCCAGCACCGCAGCTGCGGAGCCCCGGCGGCTCGGGCCGAGGATGAGGACGAGGAGGAGGACGAGGACGAGGAGGTGGAGGAGGAGAAGAAGGAGGAGGGGGAGGATGAAGAGGGGGAGGAGGAGGAGGAGGAGGAGGAGGAGGAGGAGGAGGAGGAGGAGGAGGGAGGCAGGAGGAGGAGGAGGGAGGAGGAGGGAGGAGGAGGGGAGGAGGAGGAGGAGGAGGAGGAGGAGGAGGAGGAGGAGGAGGAGGAGGAGGAGGAGGAGGGGAGGAGGAGGAGGGGGAGGAGGAGGAAGGAGGGAGGAAGGAGGAGGAGGAGGGAGGAGGAGGAGGAGGAGGGAGGAGGAGGAGGAGGGAGGAGGAGGAGGAGGAGTAGGAGGAGGAGGAGGAGGAGGAGGAGGAGGAGGAGGAGGAGGAGAGGAGGAGGGAAGGAGGAGAGAGGAGCGCGAGGGAGGACTGGTCCGAGGTTGTCAACCGCCTCGGCGGGAGGAGGAGGAGGAGGAGGAGGGGAGGGGGTGGGAAAGGGGAAAAAGGAGGAGGGAGGAGGCTGAGGAGGAGGACGCGGAGGAGGAGGAGGAGGAGGAGGAGGAGGAGGAGGAGGAGGAGAAGGAGAGGAGGAGAGGAGAGGAGTGCAGGATGAGGCGAGGAGGAGGAGGGAGGGAAGGAGGGGAGGAGGAGGAAGCGGAGGCGGAGGAGGGGGGAGGAGGAGGAGGAGGAGGAGGAGGAGGAGGAGGAGGAGGAGGAGGAGGAGGAGGAGGAGGTGGAGGAAGAGGAGAAGGAGGAGCAGGAGAAGGAGGAGGAGGAGGGACTTGGACGCTCTGCTGTCTTTCTGAGGCCTCCCGTTTGGCCCTCGTCGCCACTGCCTGCCTCCCCTTGGAAGCCCTGGTCAGCACGAGCTCCAGGACGCGCTTGGGGGGGCTCGTCGTCGTCGTCGTCGTCGTCGTCGTCGTCGTCGTCGTCGTCGTCGTCGTCGTCGTCCGTTGGCGGTGTCGGTGGCCGTCGATCCCTGCTCTCCGGCGTGGCGCGCTGGCCCTGGGGCCGCCGGGCGCATCCCCCGCCTTGGGCGCCGTCGCCGCCGCGCGGGGCTGCTGCGCTGCCGGCCGCGGCGGAGGAGCTCTCCGCGCCCCCTCGGCGGCGCGATCGAAGGCTGGACGGAAGGAATTCGACCTCCTCCTCCTCCTCCTCCTCCTCCTCACCCAACCTCCCTAATCTCCTGCTCCTCCTCCCCCTCCTCCTCCTCCTCCTCCTCCTCCTCCTCCTCCTCCTCCTCCTCCTCCTCCTCGTCTCTCTTTCTCTCTCTCTCTCTCTCTCTCTCCTCATGATCCTAACGGCATTCGGATCCTCAGAGGTGCTGCCAGTGGCCCCCTCCTGCAGGTACCGCACGGCGCCGCAGAAGGGGGCCACTCTGAAAATCGGCCGGCCCGCCCGATGGAGGGGCCGTCGAGGTACG